TGCTGTTGTATTATAGGCGGTTGTCATATATTGTATTATCCGACTTGCGCAGTGTATAAACTGGAACATTGAGATCAAAAGTGCCGACGCAGAGTGAGCGATCTGATTCTTTAGCTATAAACTGTGGCATAGGAATCAAAATGGCCGCGCCCTATGTTGGGCGTGTCGGACCTCTCTCTTGCGCCGTATAGTAATCAAAGTATGTGGCAGATGGTAAATAAATGGGTACGTGTCAAAAATCGCGTTCGCCAAGCCGCATCGGCGCGAAACACTCAAGGTTAACTAGCTTAAGTCACGTAGGCATATATGTATCTATTTCTTTCAAACAACACAAAACTCTAGACAAGTCTGTGCTCATTAACATCACGACAATTCTTTTCTGTTATATAAATCGCCTAAGTTCTCTGAGCAAAGGTATTGTTTTTTACAAAGTGTTGGAATTTCATTGTCCAATATGGAGATAGTTGCAGCTAGTACCGAGAAGAGATAGTCCATTTGGTAAGCGCGCCGTACCGTAAAACGGGTATATATGGAATGATATTTTCGGTTATTGCTTTGTATTTTAGTACGTGTACTGTATATTATTTTTGTACTTATTTTAGGTAGGAGGGGTTTACAAAGTCCTTAACATTCTCTACATAAAATGTTGAAAAAAAAAATCACATATATATTTTTTACTTTTTTACCGTTCCATATAACCCAAGGTTGGTGGATATATGGAACGAAAATTATTTTTAATATTAAAATTAGATTTTTAGTAGATTGATCCATTTATACCCTCATAGAAGAGTTATATGGAACTCACAAATATTGTAAAAAAGCGCGGATTTAAAATTATGTCTTTTACATCTCTCATTAATGAATAAAAGAACCGTTCCATATTAACATTTTATTAACAAAATATTACAAAATAACACATTTTTTTAGGAACTAGTTACTCAGTTTTACTGGCAAACTTAACATAAAACATTTCAAAATATAAAACATAAAAAAAACAAATTCTAGTATAAATAGTAGGTAATAAATTGGGCTTATGTAAGGCACGCAAAGGTGTGGAGCCCCCTTTTAATAATAGGAGGCAGCAATTTAAGTTCAATTTGCTCTAATTTCGTCTCACAAATATCAGGGACGTTCGGAAAAATAAAAATATCAGAGGCTGCTTGATAGGATCTCATACAACTTACTGTAATTTTTGATTTTGTAATTTTTTTTATCTGAGCAACAAATGTTTTAACGGTCTCATTTTTTGAATTTTGGTTATAAATGAATTTTACAGTCACAAAATCATCTACAGTAAGTTGTGGAAGTGATAAAACTCTCGCAGCTGTATTTACAATAGTTGTATCTGCAATTTCAACATCTTGCTGAGGACGACTACAAGAAGGAATAGGGTCGGCATTGACCAGTTCTTGATCGAATTCTTCCTCATTTTCAATATTTGCTTCTGAATTGCAACCTGATGATGAAACTGTTTTTGAAGGGCGTTTGCGTTTCTTACTTGCAACTTCCGGAACGGTTTCTTCGGGTAAATCTTCAGGGCAAATTCCTTTACCTGCAGGGATGTCAATTTTTTTGCTTCGTTTCTTTTTTTCAGTCCTATTTTATCTAACTAAATTCCCCATTATATCGGAAAAGCTGTCATTCAAGGCTCCTGTAGCCACCGTTTCAACTCCTCTTGGAATAAGTTTTTTTGTAACAATTTCTCGGTTAACAGGAATTATCCCACAAGCTCTAAAACCAGCTAAAACATTGGCACCATTATTGATCGAATCAATTGTTTTTCTTAGCAATGTGGGAAATTCAGTTTTTGGTAAACAGCCCCGATTTCGCAGTTTCCATTCATTTAAAATTTTTCTCCATGCTGCCTTTATTGATCGAAATACAGCAACGTCAAGGGGTTGAAGAAGATGTGTACTGTTGGGGGGTAAGAATACAAAATGAATATTGTGAGTTTTACAAAGCTGTAAAACTTTCAAAGACAGGTGACTTCCGAGATTATCGCCAATAATAACTTTCTTTCCATTCAACCTACGAAAATACACCAGAGCAACTTTTTCGAACCAGTCTTCAAATATAGGAGCATCAAACCAGCCTGTTTCACTACGATTGTAATAGCATCCATCTGGACCTCCTTGAAGCCACTCTGGGTATACATTTTTTGCCTTATATACAATATACGGAGGTAAAAATAATCCTGAACCTGTAGCTGCAAACATAACGGAAGTTGATGATTTGGAAAAATCAATAGTTCGGTGAGCGTGTTTAACCCCTCTTCTGACTATCACTCGAATTTTTCCAGGGTCGTCCGTCAAATTTGTATCATCATAGTTAATTATGTTGTCAGCTTCCACATTTTCCAGCGTTGTTTCCAAATGGTCAAAATAACTGCAAATTACTTCTCGGCCTAGTGCTTGACGAATCTTTTTAACTCGGATATAGTAAAAGGGTAACCAAATTCAGCGGCCGTTATCATACCATTTACTATTTGGTTTTCTTCAACCACATTTAATGCAGGTGGTCGCCCCAGAGTATCACCGTTTTGTCCTCTATACTTTCGGTAAATAGTAGTTTTCGGAACTTGGTACGCCTCTGCCGCTTGTTTAAATGACATTCCATCGGCAATAACCGCTTCCAATGCCCTTTCTAAATTATCCATCGAGTAATTTCGCCTATAAGCCGTACCTGGCACGTGTTTATGTTTTCTAGGCATGTTCCATATAACCCTGCAAAATACAATTTTTTACTCAAACGGTAAAAATTTTAAACCTGTATTTATTTTGCACTAAGTTAACATCATTTGATGTTTTTGAGGTTATGAGACACCATTTTGTTCATTACAAAAATATAAAATCTTTTACAGGTTCTGAGCTATGAAGGAGACAACTACAGGTAGGTAATAGTTCATAAAGATGATATAAAATAAAAGTTTTATCACTTATCACTTAATAATATAGTCAACACTAAAGCACGTTGCTAACACTTCGTTGAATATATACTTACTACTGGCATTGGTCTTGCGAACTGTTAGCAATATTGTCTTATGATATGGCGCCTAATTTAAAAAGATGCACCTGCGTTCCATATAACCTCTGCAATTCCACATATACCCGTTTTACGGTACTTTTAATTTGTGTTGGGTTCAACTTTTAATGACCTACACATTCAACAATGGGATAATTATGGATTTGAGAGTGCATAATTTCGTTCTTAACCATTGGCAACACTGATTGGTTATATTAGTATCCACTGGGATCAGCTTTGAGGCCTTTCCATAGAATAAACTTTACGATTTCCTTTTTGGAAATTTCTAATTATTGCAAAATTAATGGACTTTTCCCTTTAGATTTAGTACAGATTTTTGCCTAACTTGTTACACGTAATATAAAATACTGTTTTACCAAAAAAAAACATTCAAGTACATTCGAATAACTGATATATTACCAAAAAATCATTGTATAAAGAAACGGAATATGTTTTACTCGTTTTCGATACCGCCCCTCAAGGCGACGACCAAATGAAGTATAGTTCCGCCCTTCAGTTTGTAACTGTTGATGGTTTTGTCATCTTTGAGCTGTTTACCTTGGAAAACGAGCCGTTGCTGAGCTGGCGGAATGCCTTCCTTTTCTTCTAGTTTCTCCTTTATGGATATTATTCTGTCTGAGGGTTCCACATCGATCATGCGTTCCTCCCCTGTTAGCGTAACTACCTTGAAAAAAATTCAAAGATATCGGTGGTTTAGTAAAACGGATTAACATATTTCTAAGATAATAATTATGAACGTTCATGGGGTCTTGAAGATTTGACGAGGTTTATACCATTTACATAAATGAACGCTAAGGTAGACCATACACGCCTGAATAACAATTTAAACAATATAAATCCAGTCATAGTATGCAGCGTAATTTTTACCTTATCGTTTGGAATCAGTACAGGATTGTTATCGTCAACGACATGTGGGCGGTACATTTCAGTTTTGCTGTAAATATTTTACACATATGTTTACTATTCATGGGTTTTAAAATAGGTATTATATTCCATTAGTATTTGCCTTACTTCCAGATAAAAAATATGTAACATATATTAATTTATTTAATTTGTTGAAAAAAAATGTATAAAATATAATTATTATTATGTTTATGTCTGATTCTAATGTTGTACCGTCTGTTAAATGATCAAGTGGCTATCAATTACTATATTCCAATACAATTTTACATTGTCAATTAGAGTTATTTTAAAAAATAAATTTACCTATGTACATAATGTGTACAGGTATTAAAAGGTAGGAAGACCTATTCAGCTTTTCTTCCTACGTTGTTTGAGAGAAAATAAACAAGTATACAGTGGGTAAATTTCGGAATTTTCAGTAGAAAAAGAAGTAAATTTTGTGTTTATATCGTAAAATATAAGTTGTGTAATAGCTAATTTTATTATAGGTACTAAATTAGGTACTCTTCAAAAAGTATCTATTGGTATTTATATTTCTGTAATTTTTTTTATGGTACTTACAGCTTCTTCAAGGGGGGTAAACGTAACCGAGATTCATAAAAAAACATTTTTATATAAATAGTTATCTGGTTTAGGTTGATACGTTTCGTATAAATATTTTGTTTATTTTACCTTGACTAACATCGAATAGGAGGAAATCACTGGGAATTTTGGATTTTTGTTGCAAACTCACAAAAATGTCATGTTGTTAAATGACTTAATTTGACAAAAATTATGTCACAGGAATAAAATATGTCAAATTTACCATTGGGTTAGATACAGAGCGAGAAAAAATTGTAAAAAAAAGAATATTGATGCTATATTATTGGTAGGTGCTATTTTAAACAGTATCTCCATCTGAAATTCCATTTAAGACTTTCTTTTTCATGATTATGATTCATAAAAGTCTTGTATGAGTACCTATATAAAAATTGTGTCAAAGCATTGCGCTCTAAATCATATCTTAATGGTATCTGAAACTGGTAATGATAACTAATACTTAAATTTTCTTTCAGATGTAATATATTTCCAATGGTTAGAACTTAGATACAAATACTTATCCCTAACAACTGATATACGTAATATGCTGTTATCCCTAGGCAAAAAATACATTCTAGTTCTAATAACAAATGGTACGTCCAACGCACAATGGGAAAAAATCGATAAACTAAATATCAGACCGTTCTTCGAACACATCGTAGTTTCAGGTAATGTATTTTAATTCTTTTTGTAGCTGTCACTATTCCCTCATCATCGATACCTATATTAAACCCGCTTTGGCGTCATCAGGTGACCGGGATCGATATTAATCGCGTAGATATAGAGATTTACATTCATTTAGGGATAGGGATTGTTATTAATCCCGTACGGGATTTAATTCTGACAGGGAATGATAATACTCCGGTATTTAAATTATTTCTGACAGGAATTGATAATACTCCGGGATTTAAATTGTTTCTGACTGGAATTGATAATACTTAAAACACTAGGGATTTAATTAATTTTCGATAGGGATTAATATTAATTCCATTCCGGGATTTATATTAATTTCTGACAGAATAATGATACTCCAACGTCGGGATTTTCATTAATTTGTAGCAGGGATTGATAATGCTCCAATACTGGAATTGATATTAATTTCTGATAGGGGTTGGTAATACTCCGGTACTGGGATTTATATTATTTTCTGACAGAGATCGATAATATTCCAACACAGAAATTTATATTAATTTCTGATAGGGATTGATAATACTACAGCACTATGATTTTCACTAATTTCTAACTCAGATTGATAATACTACAACACCAGGATTTATATTAATTTCTGACAGTGATTGGTAATACTCACACAGTTGGATTTTCATTAATTTCTAACAGATTGTGAATATTCCAACATCGTGATTTTCATTAATTTCTGACAGATTGAGAGTATTTCAACACCGGGATTTTCATTAATTTTTGACAGGAATTGATAATATTTCAACACTAAGCTTTCCATTAATTTCTGACAGGGATTGATAATACTACGATACCGAGATTTATATTAATTTCTGACAGATTGATGATAATATAACACCATGATTGTTATTAATTTCTGACAGGGATTAATAATATTCCAACACAGGTATTTTTATACTTTTCTGACAGGAATTGATAATACTACGATACCGGGATTTATATTAATTTCTGACTGAGATTGATGATACTCCAACGTCGGGATTTTCATTAATTTATAGCAGGGATTGCTAATACTTCAATACTAGAATTTATATTAATATCTGATAGGAATTGATAATACTACAACATAGGGATTTTCATTAATATCTGACAGGGATTGATAATATTCTAACACCAGGATTTTCAGTAATTTCTGACAGGAATTGATAATAATCCGATATTGGGATTTATACTAATTTCTGCAGAGATTAATAATTTCCAACATTAGGATTTTTATTCATTTCTGACAGGAATTGATAATACTCTTGTACTGGAATTTATATTAACTTCTGACAGAGATTGATAATATTCCAACACCCTGATTTTCATTAATTTCTGAAACGGTTTAATATTAATCCAACACCAGAATTTTGATTAATTTTTGACAGAGAATAATAATACTCTGATACTGGGAATTATATTAATTTCTGCAGAGATTGATAATATTCCAACACCATGGTTTTCATTAATTTCTGACAGGGATTGATAATACTCCGGTACTGGGATTTATATTATTAGAGTTTGATAATATTCCAATACAGGGATTTATATTAATTTATAGCAGGGATTGATAATACTTCAATACTAGAATTTATATTAATTTCTGATAGGAATTGATAATACTACAACATAGGGATTTTCATTAATTTCTGCCAGGGATTGATAATATTCTAACACCAGGATTTTCAGTAATTTCTGACAGGAATTGATAATAATCTTGTACTGGAATTTATATTAATTTCTGAAAGAGATTGATAATATTCCAACACCGTTATTTTCATTAATTTCTGAAAGGGCTTAATATTAATCCAACACCAGGATTTTGATTAATTTCTGACAGAGAATAATAATACTCGGATACTGGGAATTATATTAATTTCTGCAGAGATTGATAATACTCCGGTACTGGGATTTATATTATTTTCTGACAGAGTTTGATAATATTCCAACACAGGGATTTATATTAATTTCTGACAGGGATTGATAATACTACAACACTATGATTGTCATTAATTTCTAACTCAGATTGATAATACTACAACACCAGGATTTATATTAATTTCTGACAGTGATTGGTAATACACAGTTGGATTTTCACTAATTCTGACAAATTCATAATATTCCGATACTGAGATTTACATTAATTTTTAACAGAGATTGATACTATTCTAACACCGTGATTTTCATTAATTTCTGACAGATTGTGAATATTCCAACACCAGGATTTTCATTAATTTCTGACAGAAATTGATAATATTCCAACACCGGATTTTCATTAATTTCTGACAGGGATTGATAATACTACGATGCCGAGTTTTATATTAATTTCTGACAAAGATTGTTGATATTATAACACCGTGATTGTCATTAATTTCTGACAGGGATTGATAATACTATGATATATTGTTTTCTGACAGAGTTTGATGATACTCCATCGTAGGGATTTTCATTAATTTTTGATATGGGTTGATAATACACCAATACCGGGATTTATATTAATTTCTGATAGGGATCGCCAATCCTCCAATACCGGAATTTATATTAATTTCTGACAAATATTGATACTATTCCAACATCGGGATTTTCATTAATTTCTGACCGAAATTAATAATACTCCAACACCGATATTTTCGTTAATTTCTGTCAGGGATTGCAAATACTCCAATACAGAGATTTTATTAATTTCTGATAATATATTTTCAAGTTTGCGATTTAAAATATTTTTAAAAATGAACCTTTAAACAAATTAATATCGAACCCGCTGGCGTTTAGAAGCGGTATTAATATGGAGGAGTAGTGACAGCATGAACATGATTCATTTGTGTAATAGAGTAAAACTGTACAGGACCTTACCATTGTGGAAATATGGAAATTTCTACCGTGGCCTTCTCCTTCCAGTAAATTGTGGCTTCTCACGGCAACACAATGTTGAATCTGCTAGGAGAAAAGGTAATCGTAAGGTAATCAATTAGGATATTTTCTTAACCTATAAGCATTTTTTGGAATTTTGTATAATCTATAAATAGGAATGTTTTGCATTGCGATATTAGTAAATTCAGTGATTATTTATAAAAAGTGGTTTTGAAATATTTTTACTACTCTATTACTATTTTTTAATACGCCTTGGGTTAGATTTACAAGCTTTGTTCAAACGTCACTAATATAGAGATTTTTTGTTGAATAGGATTAAAATAAAACGAAAATTTCGCTGGATTATGCTTATATTCTTTTATATTAAATATATTTATCGTGCCCTATAATGTGTCAAAAATAATTTTTTAAGTGAGGTTATGCTAGGTTCTGCAGTGACGTCACTAATCGACATTTGGCAATAGCACATTTCACAGATTTGATAAACTAGTGTATAACATAACGGTAATATGTGTAATATGTTAGAGAGCATACGAGACATGCGCATTAAACCTGATGTTTACTGTTTAGATTTTAGAACATATAGCTGGATAGTTCTTGATGAGCGCGTCTCTGATTGATGCATGGGTAAAATCTTCGTGGAATATAATTCAATATATACTAGTATAAATCTGTATATTCCATCAATTTTTTTTTTTTTTAAATAGAAGCTATTGAAAAGATGTAACAATCTCTTAGATATTTGTTATATTGTAAATATTATTATTTATTCAAAATAGTTTCTCTCTCTATATGCAGTTTCTACCCATTACCTTATCTTTGTCACTAACCAACAAACTTTTGACTTTATAAATTTGACAAACAATATTTAGGAAGTTCGCAACATCTAGCTGCCATCGTCCGAACTTTTTCTTGTAGTATTTTGGCGCGCATTTTTGCTACCAGCTCTTGGTTATTTATTGTTTTCGAACACTGTTATGTTTGTTTTTGTTACATTTTTACAGGCGACCATCCTTGGGAAAAACCTCATCCGCAGATATTTCGGGAGGCGTGTCACGCCGTTGGAGTTGGACCCCATCAGGTCATAATGGTGGGGGATAAGTTGGAGACTGACATATTAGGAGGTAATGATAATAAAAATAATAATAAAATACTTGTAGCTGTTAAAAACTTTGACAATCATAAATCCAGTTATTTATTAAATTACGTCATCACATGATTTTCCAAATTCTAACCTCTATCATCTTAGAGCACATACTTTGATTTTCTTTTACTATACGGAGAATGGTCGCACTGCGCAGCTTTCTGAGTGCCTTTTAAAAGGAGATAGAAAACTCCGCCATTTTGAACTATTATTACGTGTTGCCTACATCTTGGCGCAATATTTTTAATAGGTGCGTTTTAATCATCCGCTTCTGCTTCGGAATTGTCGGTTTTCTTGTTTTAATCTGACAGATTAAAACGACTAAACCAATGACATATATAGTTTAAATAGACTGCTTATCCATACGTAAATAAAACGCTGAAAAGCGGGTCGAACTGTGAGATGTTTTCTCTTTGTCTAGTGCATGCAATGTTTGTGTTTTGTCTCAATTTTGAATGCTCACTGGTAAACAAACCTTTCACAGGACCGGTTTTAAAGAAAGTTTAGTCTAGTTGAGATTTTGTTCTCATTGTCATTACTCAGTCGGACATTTTGTTGAATTGTTTATTTTATTTATTTTTAATTATACTTATGTTCTGTTTTAAGTTTTTTAATTATCTGAGTATAAAAACTTGTTTTGTTTTTAAATTTAAATTGTGAATTGCTCTATAAAGGGTTGTAAGACCAGCTACAGAAATTTTAAAAGTAACATTTCATTTTTCACGCAAGTATCAATACAAGTAGGTACAAGTTAAATACGTTTATAATAATTTTATGAATTATAATTAATTATAATAATAATATTAATAATAAAGTATTTATTGTAAATACAATTACATAAATATTATTATATTCAAAGGCATGAGTTAGAGCTATCTGGGCTTTACAAGTACATTTTAAAAGTTATAGTTAGATACAGAGAAGTATCGTATAATAAAAACTCAATATAAATAGAAGAAAAACGGACATAAGTACCAATACAGAGAGACAAACACTTATTCTTTGATAGGTTCTTTCTATGTGAATTCTAGCTCTGGCAATTTTGGCATTAAGTAAAGCCTCTTGATGGCTGAACTGATTTTTTTTTATTGAGGAAAGGAGGCTGTATAATTTGTATACCTTCAGCTTCTATTATGTTTCCAATAAGAAAACCTTTGTTAAACATTTTACTATCGAGAAATGATTCACACACTTCAAGTATTGATCTTTGTTAAAAAATGTCTATTTCTGAAGTTCTACCACCAAATGCTTCACTTTTGTAAGTAATGAGACCATAGGTGACACTCCAGTCAATATTTTAATAGTATGCCTCTTTTTGTAGTCAGAGTAATTTTTTTAGCCTACAACAAAGACATTTGGCTTGCTATATTGGGATTTCGGTACAATCAAGTAGTAGTCTTACTTACATAGAGGCACAATATTTAATATTTCTTGTTTTGAAGACCGAATTATACCATACTGAGACTTTCTACCAGTTTTATTAAAAACTGTTAAAAAATTTAATGATAAAGAGTTTCATTCACTCCAAATAAAATGGATAAAACAGTATATCTTGCATATCAGTTTTCAACTTCATAAAATTAAATATAACTTGATCCTTTACAGACATAACTGATCTCCTTTTTCCTATTCTTTAGAAACAACTCTGCCACTAATTCCACAATGGTGGCTAATAACTGGAAGGATTGCAATCCTATTAAAGTAGATAGTCCTTTAGCACTAACAATACTGTTTGAAAACGGATCAACTAAATCACCACTCTTCACTTGTGTTGAACAATCGATCCCAATTCAAATCATTCACATTCACCGCCAAAATAATCCTTAATTGTCTAAAGGGAACAAACTTTAGAATGTGAAAAAGCTACTAACTTTTAGTAAAATCTTTAAATAGTTCATTCAATTTTTGCATAATATCTGCTTTTATAATGCGAAATAAATTTTAAAAGAAAAATCAAGTGTCCGAATAGTGCCACTATACAGTGGTCGTGGTCTAAATAAAGTTAGTTATATACACATGAGTGTAAAATTGTTTATATCTATGTTCAAAATTGGTTAGATCTCTTAAAATGTTTTGAAAATTGGGAAACTAGACGTTATGACTCAAAATCCTTTTTTAAAATACCTAACGCAAGCTCCTGTCTTGAAATAAACATACAGATAATTTTTTTTTTAATTCAATTCCTACGTTGATGAAATATGAGTTTTAAACTCATTTGGGCCAGACCGATTCTGCCTGGTGAGCACTCGGCAAGCCAAGCAATATGACCCGCTTTTCGTCGTCTTGTTTATATATGGATGAGCAGTCTATTAATCTATATGTCATTGGACTAAACCGACAATTCCGGAAGCAGAAGCGGATGATTAAAACGCACCTGATATTTTGCTTGCTGCTGTCAGTGTCAGTGAATATTATTTTTGGAGTCACAGTTAATTGCTAAAGAATCGGTTAGCTCACTCGGACCAGTTGAAAGTTCCAAAATAACATCCACTCCAGGGATACAAATCCAGGATACGCAGAAGACTGCTGTTTTATTATAGGCGGTTGTCATATATTGTATTATCCGAGTTGCGCAGTGTATAAACTGAAACATTGACATCAAAAGTGGCGACGCAGAGTGAGCGAGCTGATTCTTTAGCTATAAACTGTGTCATAGGGTTCAAAATGGCCGCGCCCTATGTTGGGCGTGTCGGACCTCTCTCTTGCCCCGTATAGTAATCAAAGTACCTATGTGGTTAGCTCACTCGGACCAGTTGAAAGTTCCAAAATAACATCCACTCCAGGGATACAAATTCAGGATACGCAGAAGACTGCTGTTTTATTATAGGCGGTTGTCATATATTGTATTATCCGAGTTGTACAGTGTATAAACTGAAACATTGAGATCAAAAGTGCCGACGCAGAATGAGCGATCTGATTCTTTAGCTCTAAACTGTGCCACAGGGTTCAAAATGGCCGCGCCCTATGTTGGGCGTGTCGGACCTCTCTCTTGCCTCGTATAGTAATCAAAGTATGTGGCTCTAAGCTCCAAATCTATTGCATAATTGTGCAAATTCTAATCTCTATTATTCTTTTGAAACTAGCAACCTGACAGAAGGTTTGTTCTGGTTCTTCAGAAATATGTTAAAAACTGTCCGAGTACTAGATGACCAGTGGAAAGTTAAAAAGTTTTACGCAACGCATAATTTGATATTCAACTGTTCCACTGGATCTTGGGCGGTTTGCAGTACATTTTGAAGAAACCAGAACAAGCCTAGAGTAAAAAAGTTAAAAATTTAGGAAAGCACGTTTTATTATATCGATTATTTCAGGTGTTAACTCTAAACTGGCCGCCAATATCTGGACACCACTGGAAGGGCAGCTCTTGCAAGACGAAGGCCCCGTGCCAGATTTTACTTTAGGTCACGTAACTGAATTATTGTTTTTAATTCCCAAAATTGCAAACGGAATAAGAAGCAGACTCGACATGTTGCAGCTGAGCGATTTCGAAGATGGAAATAGTAATAGCAGTGATGGAAGTTGATATAAAATTATTAAGAAATACTACCTGGACATCCGTAATTGGGATGTTATCGTTTTTAAAAATTGGATTTTATTATTTTTTTACTAGATTTTTTCGAAAATCGTATTTACGCAGTTTTACAGTCATGTTTGACACACCTTGTATATTTCGTCCTGTTCTAGTCTTCATATGAGGGTTCTTCGATAGAAAACATTTTTTATTTTTCAATTTGATAAAATAAGAGGTTAATAGGAGTTGCTAATCCACGCGAACACGCCACTGCGGTTATGTTACTCATTTGACAAATGACGTAAATTAGGGAATTTTTAGTACGGGAAAATTCATTTGTATAAAATTTCACTCTCGCTTCAAGAATATTAATAAATTCAATTTATTATTTAAAGTATACTTCGGCTGTATTCGAGTATATACAGTGCGTCCATAAAGTAACGCATAAATTCATTATTGGCTAAATGAACAATAAAATTAGGAATTCCCAAAACAGGTCGATTTTTGATTTCAATTTACTATTGTTTCAAATCATAATCTAATATACAGGGTGAACCAATTTCGTGTAATGACGTCATCACCATTTTTTTCAAATGGAACCCCCCTTTTTTTTCAATTTCCAAATTGCCTTTGCTGAGCTGATTCCAAAAATGTATAATATGTTGCTTCAAATTGGTACAGGGTGGGCAAAAATGCAAAAAAAAATATGAAAATTGTTTATGGAAAGTAATACGTTACTGAATGTAATAAACAAATTAAATGGAATTATGTAGTTATGCAATTAATGTGATACACTTCCAAAAACAAACAAACGAACGAAAATTTACAATAAATGTTAAAATTGTTCTCCATTGACCGTTAGACAATGACTGAACCGGGCATTACTTTCGTCTCTAACATTCTGTAGCATAGCGGGTGTTATGCTCTGTATTTCTTGTCTGATTCGGTCTTGTAGTTGAGGGATATTTCCAGGTCTGTTGAAGTAGACTTTAGATTTTAAATAACCCCATAAAAAGAAGTCTAATGGGTTCAGATCAGGTGATCTAGCAGGCCATTCCACTGGTCTCCTTCTTCCTATCCACCTTTGTGGAAAAGTTGTGTTTAAAAAATTGCGCACAGCTACTGCGTAATGTGGCGGTGCGCCATCCTGTTGAAACCAGATTCTGCGGTCTACATTAGTGGGTATTTGAATATCAGGAAAAAGCTGGATCAGATCAGGAATTAATGTATTTTGTAGGAAATCCAGATATAATGCTCCTGTTAAGTTTTCATCGAAAAAATATGGACCAATAATTGTATTTCTCACAATACCAGCCCATACGTTAGTTTTTTGTGGTCTTTGCGTATGGTACTCTTGCATCCAGTGTGGATTTTCATCAGACCAATAACGGGTGTTTTGCCGGTTAACATGACCGTTCAAATAAAACGTTGCCTCGTCCGAAAATAAAACGTTATCAATGAAATTGTTATTTTGGTTCATCATATACTCGCAGAATTCAGTTCTTCGGTCAAAGTCGTCTTCAGCCAATTCATGGATGAGACGTACTTTATAAGGATGGTATTTTACCTTTTTGAAAATGTTTGATACTGAAGACTTTCCAATACCAAAATCCCTAGATAATCCTCGCACTGTACAGTGTGGATTTTCTACAGCCGACAAAATTATGTCTTGTTGAATATTTTCATCAATTTTTGGTCTACCTTGCCTTGCTGCATCCCTCACATGTCCTAATTCTCTGTATTTTCGCTCTATTCTACTTACCGTAGATTGTGAAATAGGTTCACGATCTGGGTGCATTTCATGGAATAATCGGCATACCTCTTGTTGAGTCCGCATCTTATCGCCAATACCAATCATCATTAATATTTCAATCCTGTCACTTTCGGTTAAAGGCATTTTGTAAAAAAAGTTCACGAACGTACCTTCTCTACAGCGTTAACAATACGAAACTGTGCTTCAATGTTTTTGACAGTCTTGTCAAATAAAAAAAACTGGTATGTCAAATAAAAAAAACTGGTAAAAGATAATGCCAAACAAAAAGATTTTTATAGTCCAGGGGCTTGGATCACTAATAAAAGCTGTAAGATACAATTATTAAGAATAATGCTGTATGTTCTTGATAGTTTATCAAAGTAGTTGTAATAACAATACGTAATTTCATTTAATGTGTTTATTACGTTTATTCGTTATTTTCATTACTTTGTAAGTAAATTTTTGCATTTTTGCCCACCCTGTACCAATTTGAAGCAACATATTATACATTTTTGGAATCAGCTCAGCAAAGGCAATTTGGAAATTGAAAAAAAAGGGGGGGTTCCATTTGAAAAAAATGGTGATGACGTCATTACACGAAAGTGGTTCACCCTGTATATTAGATTATGATTTGAAACAATAGTAAATTGAAATCAAAAATCGACCTGTTTTGGGAATTCCTAATTTTATTGTTCATTTAGCCAATAATGAATTTATGCGTTACTTTATGGACGCACTGTATATAAAGTATAATACTAAAAATGTATTTTGAGTTAAGGAATAACCCTCGAAAACTTTTGTGGAATCCTATAAAATTTGGTTGTGATGTTATATCTAGAACAGTTGCTTTGAAATGATTTTTTTTTTATTTATTTTATTGAGTTATGTTGAGTATTGTTTAAATTATGCTAAGTATTTTTTTTTACTTTTGCTGTACATTTTAATTTGTAAATACGTATTCATAATGTTCCTAATTAATCTCGAATGTAAGATATTTTTTTTTGTAACAATAAAAGACAAATTTTTCAGTTTTTTCTATTTGAATAAAATAAGACGCAGCTGCAATTGTTTTTACTCAGTTATTTTTCAGTCCAGCTCTTTTTCGATTGTAATGAATAATAAATTATATTTTTTTAATAAAAAATGCAAAAAAACGCTTGTTTGATTTTTATGGATTATTAATCTGGTTTATCTGCAATTCAATTGCTGACAAACCCCTGTATAACTAAATAAATAACAAAGTTATGATTTGTAAAAATAGAAAAAAAATTAGTAGTAACTTTTTTAAGAACTGCGTACCTCTTGTGTTCCATTGGCGAATTTGGATCTAGTTATTAGAAATAAAATCCATGGCTATAATAATAAATACATCTCGGGTATATTATTAAGAAATAGGATACAAAAAAACTGCCAAAAAGAATAATCTGCCCCAGATAAATCTAGAAACATGTAGCCAAGAAGAAGAGAGATGCATCAAATTTCAAAATGGAAGACTTATTAGAAGCTTCAATGTTTATTCACAAAACTACAACAAAAATAATTCGAAAATTACTTGATAAAGATATGGGAGCCCGGTTGGTTAAATTTACAACGAATACTTGAGAAAAATTAATAATAATAATAATAATAATAAATGTCTTTATTAACCAACAAAATACAAGTAAATTAAAATAGAATATTCACTATAGTACCTATATACATAAAAAATAAGAAAAAGGCAAACGTTGTTTAAAGGGCGCAAAATCAGCTAGGCTGCTCTTCCTTAAGAACCCAAAATATATATACATACACACACATATGTATACATATATAAATAAATTAAAAAAAAAATAATATTAATAGTAAAATGTAAGAAATCGCGATTTAGAAGAAAAGTCATAATAAATTTATAACACATTTATAACACATTTGCATAAATAAATAAATAAATAAATAAATAGGTGAAATAATTAGTTTCAACACTGTTCGCTAAATAATTTTTCAAAAAGTTTTTGTTTGAATTGAGATATTTTCATTAATTTAAAATTGTCTGGTAGAAGATTGTATGCTTTGAAAATATTATATCTAAAAGATTTTTCGAAAAAGGTAGTTCTATGGACTGGAATAGAAATAATTTTTTTTCTTCTGATATTAATATTATGCACATCTGATCTTTACTTTATTTTATTGGTTAGGTAAGGGGGAGTTGTGTTTACGATAACTTTGTGGAGCAATGTCAACGAATGTAATAACCTTCTGCGAGTCATATTCAGCCAGCGAGCAGTTACTAATGTATGACTAATTGAATCAAATTTTCTTATACTGAAGATTAATCGTAAACAAGAATTTTGAAGCCTCTGTAGTCTGCCTGAATCTCTTGAAGTTAAGCAGGGACCATATACGTAGTCACAGTGGTTAGTTTGTGAGAGGACAAGCGATTCACAAAGTAGTATTTTGAGTTTCCTACTTAAAATATGTCTATTGGGATATAAAACTTTTAATTTTCCATAAGCCTTCTTTAATATAAATGATGTGTGATCGGTAAATCTTAATTTGTTATCGATTATGACACCTAAATTTCTAGCCTGCTCAGTAGTGTTTAAAGGGTCGTTTTCAATTTTGATTATTAACTCATTAGGTAATATATTATTTCCGAATAACATAATAGTTGATTTAGAATTATTAATTACCAAGTCATGTTTTTTAGATGCTTCTAATAATGCCTTTAGCTCAGTGTTTATTAAATTTTGTGCATTGGTAATATATTCTTTATTAAAGAAGTAATACAACTGAGTGTCATCTGCATACATATGTATTTTCATATGCATTAATACATTCGGAATATTACTGGTGTAAATTGTATACAGTAAAGGTCCTAAAATTGTACCTTGAGGAACGCCTCTTTTTATTATACCCACATTTGAAATGTCATTAAGGAAACTTACTCGTTGAGTCCTATTATTAAAATAATTTTTAAGAAGCTCTATTGCAGAATTACTGAAACCTATGTAACTTAAAATAGCGAACATTAATTGGTGATTTAGCATATCAAAAGCTTTACTGTAGTCAAGCAAAATTAAAGCACCGCATTTTTTATTATCAAGTTCAGTTAGTATGTCATCTGTGATATTTAACAGTGCCGTCCCACAACTAAAACCTGGCCTGAATCCTGACTGAACCGTTGGTAGTATAGAGTATGTATCCAGATGTTGTTTTATTTGAAATTCCATTGTTCGTTCTAAAACTTTTGATAAAGTTGGAAGTACTGTCACAGGACGTA